GACAAAACTTTCCATGGCATACATTTAACCCTTGTGATTAGCCCAATTGTAAGTGATGTGCTACTACAAAAAAATTTAAATTTAAAATATCCATGTCAAAGCAAAGATATTATTAGTACATTAGAGTTGCAATGTTTCTCAAGCACCTGGAAGAAAGGTTATCTACTGAAACTTAAACTATAAAATCAATAAAACAATCATGAAGAGATGTCTAATTTTAGCTAAAAGAGGTAGTAGCACTGTGCGCAGATTGGGCTGCTCTGACTGAGTGCATCAATTTATCCAAAGAAAGCAAGAATATGGCATATACCACATTACCATAAAGAGTGATATCTGGGGACTATTCTAACCTGATGGCATTAAATATTCAGGTTATATAGAATTAATTATTGAATTAATCCTCCTGAATCTAAATTTTTCATCTACCAACTTACCGCTGTTGGCATGCCTACATGAAGTAAATATACTGGATAGACATGAGGTTTCTTTTTATCAATCAATAAATTAGCAATATGGTTAATATTTCCATTTCTATGATCCTTTTGAATGTTAGTGAAGTCCTAAAGGACAAACCCATTTTTTATCCTATTAGATTGAGAGCCAGACCTTGTGCAACAAAAATCACCCATGGCAATGCTATCTTGTGGAACTGTTTTTATGGTATTGGAGACAGCCAGCCTATCTTTCTTAGTGACACATGGACCATAGAAACTGTTGTTTCATTCTAATGTTTATGTTCTTCAATGGATAGTATTACATTGTATAGAGAGCTTTGAATTTTGAGTCAAGTTCCTCAAATGACATCAATTAACTTCAGGTCACACAAACAAGAAGTAAGGACTCACCCTGGATTTCTCTTTGTCCCCTTCCCCACCTCCATCTCCAATGGTCACTAGATCCTGTAAGTATCTTGGACTTACTATCGACTCTCCATTGTCACTACTTGTTGGTTAAGCCATTACCGTATCTCCCCTAAACTGCTGAAATAGCCTCATAACTGGTAATTGTCTTTGTCTCCCAGCCATCTTCCATAGCATTATTCAAGCAATTTTTCAAAATATCAATCTGGTTGTTTTTTGTTTAAAACTCACTTATACTCCACCATTTTTTTATTTGGATAAACTCTAGTCTCCTTGGTAAGGCATAAAAGGCTGCCCATAACCTGGTCATTTATTTTTTTCTTCCCCATCAACTGTGAGTTTCAGTGATATCAATCCTTCTAAAATCCCCACAACATAACTCAGGGCTGTGTTTCTATGCTGTTTCTCGGTTTCTCCCAATCCTATCTGCCCTGTACCCCCACTCACGACCACATCACATCAGTTTGTTAGCGAAGAGACCGGCAATTTTATTTTGGTATTATTTTCCCGTTTCATTATTTCATTTTCCTTATGGTAGCCCTACATAAATTCACCCTTTAAATGCTTTACTGAGTATGTGTCTTTTTCACCTGCCCAGGATCTTTCTACATGCTTCTAATTCTGTGATTTTCCGTATGAATGCACTCCTCTCTCATCACCATCAGTTCCTGTGGTTTGAATAGGGCCAACTCCACCTACATCTGTGATGCTGGGCACCAAGTAGACTGAATCCGTTCTGCTTACCAAAATTGACGGGCACGGGACTCCTAGAACTAATGCGACTCAATTCTGGAATTTTATTAGGGATAGAGTCACATGTCCTACTCTGGCTTCTAAGAGAGAAGGACTCTTACCCAGGGCTTGAGAAAACTTCCTACCAAGAGGAAAGAGGCTGCCTCAGAATAAAGCTAAAACCAAAGAAAGCAGCTCAGAGACAGGAGGGGAAAAACCATCAGGCCCAGAAGACAAGGTTTAAAACATGCCTGAAATCAGTTCCACACTGGGCTCTTCATCCTGAGAGCCTGTTGGAGGAGGTCAAGGAGAGGACATGGCTGCCTGCCAGCCCCTTTGTGTGATGATCTTCGCCATTGGAGGAGCAGTTGTTTCCTAATTGCTGAGATTTTTAAAAAAGATCTTTATTAAAATATAGCTAACACACCTTATGTTAGTTTCAGGTGTATGCCATAGTTATTCAACATTTATGTACCTAAAGAAGTGATCACCATGATAAGTCCAGCAACCATCTGACACCATACCACACTATCACAATATTATTGACTACATTCCCTATGCTGTACATTACATCCCCATGACTTATTTGTTTTATAACTAGAAATTTGGACCTTACAGTTGACAGTCAATATTGTTTTATGTTACTTTCAGATGTGCAACACAGTTGTTAGATATCTATATAATTTAAGAAGTGATCCCCCTGATTAGTCTAGTACCAACATAATACTATATATAGTTATTATCTTATTATTTACTAATTCCCTGTCTTTACCTTACATCCCCTTGACTGTTTTGTAACTACAAATTTGTACTTCAAATTCCTTCACTTTTTTCACCCACCTCCCCAATTCCCCTCCCATCTATCACCCTGATAAACCCAGTACCCATCTGACACCATATAGTCATTATAGTATTACTGACTCTGTTCCTTATGCTATACCCTACATACACATGACTACTCTGTAACAATCAATTTGTACTTCTTAATCCCTTCCCCTTTTCACTCATCCTCCCAACCTCCTCCCATTTGCCAACCATCTAAACATTCTCTATAACTGTGAGTCTGTCTCCATCCTGTTTGTTTATTTTCATCTTTAGATCCCACATATAAAAAAAAATCGCAATGCATTTGTCTTTCTGTCTGAGACACTCCACTCAGCACAATACCCTCCAGATCCATTCATGCACCTGCAATTGGCATGAACCCATTTCCTTCCATGGCCGAGCAATATTCCACCATAAATATGTACCACCTCCTCTTTATCTAGTCACCCATTGATGAGCACTCAGGCTGCTTCCACATCTTGGCCATTGTAAAACATGCTGTAATAAACATATGGATGCACATGTCCCCTCAAAATAGCGTTTTGGGTTTCTTTGGATAAATGCCCATAAGTGGGATTACTGGGTCCTTTATTATGTCTCAGTATAGCCTTTGTTCTAATGTCTATTTTGTCTGGTATATTTATTGCAACCCAGCTTTTTAAAAAAAATTTAATTTTCATGAAATATCTTTTCCTATCCCTTTACTTTCAGTGTGTGTGTATTTCAATCTGAAGTGAATCTCTTGTAGGCAGCTTATGTAAGGGTTTTCTTGTTTTGTTTTTTATCCATTCAGCCACCCTATCTCTTTTGATTGGAGCATTTAATCCATTTATATTTCAAGTAATTTTTGATAGATATGTAATTATGGCCACTGTATTATTCTCTCTCTCTCTCCCTCTCCCTCTCTCTTTCTTTCCTTCCCCTTCTCCTTCTCCTCTCCTTCTTCTTCAAGAAGTCTTTTTAACATCTCTTATGATCCTGTTTTGGTGGTGATAAACTCCTTCAGCTTTTTCTGATGTGGGAAGCTCTTTACCTCTCTGGGAAGCTTATAAACAACTGAAACTTATTTCTCAAAATTCTGGAAACTGAAATCCCATACCAAGACACCAGTATGGTCACGTTCTCATGAGGGCCTTCTTCCTAGTTCATAGCTGGCATCTTCTTGCTCTGTCCTCACAAGGAGGAAGGAGTTAGGGATCTCTCTGGAGACTCTTTTTTAAGGCACTAATCCCATTCATGAGGGTTCCAAACTCACAACTTAAGTACCTCCCAAATTCTTGACTTACTTATACCATCACCTTTGGGGTTTAGGGTTTCAACATATGAAAATTTTTTTGACGGGTGGGAGGAGGCATAAATATTTAGAGCATAACAATGCCATTCATTGAAGCAAGGGGAGAAAACAGTTCCCAAGTGATGAGCACAAATGGATCATTATCTTTCCAGTGGAACAGGAATTTCTTCCTCATCATGAAGAGTCATTTCTTACACTATCAGTATATTTGGAAGGTTTGAGGAACTGTAGCTGAAGCAGCACATTGTTTTTTAAAGATTTTATTGGGGAATTGGGGGAGGGGAACAGACAAGTTGCTGTCCTTTTGTTGTTCAGTCTAGTTGTGGAGGACATTGCTTCACTGGCCCATGTTGGTATCATCTTTGCGCTCGTCCTGGATGAGGTAGATTGGTCTCCAGCCTCTGGATGGCCACTCACAGCTGCTCTTGGCAGCTCACACTGGCTGCCGACTGATCATGTTGGCTGCCAGCCACACATGGTAGCTTATGGCAGCCCACTGCAGCAGGAGCTGCAGCCTACGCCGTCGCCGGCAACTCATGGCAGCCCAGCTCTAGGTCAAGCTGTTGTTCACCATTTTAGCTGTAGAGGGCAGTGTCACTGGCCCTCATATGGATTCCGACCCGAGGCCCTGCTGCTCAGAGCCGGAGTCCCAAGCTAGCTCTTAACCAACACGCTGCTTGGCTGGCCCCGAGCAGCACAACTTTAAGCATACTGGGTTGAGTGCCACATGTGGAGAACATGTCTTATTTGGAAAGATAAAATACACAAGTTTGATACTAGTGGAACTTGAATTTTCCATACATTTTGCTGGGCTGCTTTTATGTCTTTTCTCCTTTTCCATGTCTTTAACTGACAAAATATTGTCTTAAATGAGGCTTATAATTAAGTGCTAACTGAGCATGCTCAAATGCCTAGGAAAATTTTGGGTTATAGTTGGCAGTCCTTTACACAGTTTAGTATTCTAGTTAAAGGGAAAAAAAGACCTTTTTTATGAATGTGCAGGGTATGTATTATTTCTTAATATCTGGCTTGTGGGCTTTTTTTAAAGCATAATATCCGAGAGCGGTACATTTGGAACAAAATAATTGAATCTGGACATAATTAGGAAAGTTCACAGCTCAGGAAAGATTGGTGAGGAAATGTTGAGATAGGAAGCTGAGTTGAAACAATAATGCTTTTAAGAGCTAAGAGCAGAAGCTGAAGCCTTGTTCTGGACAGTTACTGTTAAGAAGGTGGTTGGAATAAATACATCTGCCTTTCTTTCAGGTGAGCAGCTTGAGTTGTCGAGCATGATAGTCTTCATTTTCCTTGGTAAGTGAATTATGCTTCTGGTTTATCTGAATTCATAACATCAATTCTTTGTGAAGTAAATGCTGTCCTATCTAATTTAACTGTTGATTGAGCTAGCAGGTGCTTATCATATGAAGTATCAATTACAATTTTATATTTTAACATGGTTTATTACTTTTGAAAAATATACACTTACTTTTACTCATTTATAACTCTATAGAAAATGCACAATGTAAGAATTGTATTAACTACTCAGATTTGCTTCTGTTTTATTATATAGCATAATCCATTACTTTGAATTATTTATTAGGATTTATGGAACTCATAAATACTATATACTGGACATTTTAGAAATGAAACTTCCAGTATCTATTTACAAGTTATATGATGACAAATTTCAAGTTATTACCTATTTCTCTTTGAAATTAAATTAAAATGAGATTAAATCATTTAGTTCCCCTAATTTCAAGGTGTTAATATTTAAAAAGTAGGAGTCATTTAGTAGAGTAATACAACACCATATCAAATGTTTCACATTTCATTCAGTTTCTGTAACCTAGTGGTTAAGTGTGGATTTATCCTTCTTATATTAGGTAGTGTGAATTTACTGTTAGATGTTGGTGAAAAAGAATTCATTTATACTTAAAGTAGAATTCATGAAGACCTATTTGCTATATGTGTTATTGGAGAACCTATTATATTTTCTTCAGCATTTAGTAGGATATATAAATTGAATTCAGAAAAAAGGGATATGATTATAGCTTAATATTAATAATCCACTCATTAAATCAAAGAAAGTATGTTTTTGCTTAGTCAATGCTAATAAATATTGATAAATAAAGCGTAATCATGGATAAGAAAACAACGAAGGCTATTTCAAATAATGTTGAACATAAAAGAATAATTAAAATAAAAAAACTTAAGGCAAGAAGGAAATAAATTATTTCTAACACTTAAAGGGGCAAAATTGTGCTATTTGATAGTTTTAACCAATATTTTCCATGGTGCATTGTTCAAAATACTTGTTTGACATCATCTAAATAGGCTTTGTGATGTGGGGAAGTCCAAAGAAATGTGAGACATATTGAAGTTTTAAAACAGAGTATTTAATATCCTAATGAGCCTTTTACATGTTTAAGAGGGTAAATATAATGTGCAACATTCTCCATCTTATTTATTTTAAAAATAGAATGTGTTTTTCACTGAGCGTTTCAAGAGAATCCTTGAAAACTCCTGGATTAAATATAGAGCCACAAATCATAGTTAGAAATGAATAACACTTTGGATATTTTTGAGTCTTGTGAGGCAAATCATTGAGATGGCTTTCCTAGTTGATTCAGTATTTCATCTTGGTGGAAAGTGTGAAAAATCATTTAAAATAAACAAGTGAATTATTCAACTTAAAACTTAAATATGAAAGAAAATGAAAGAGGATATGGAAAGGTAATATGTAGGATGCACTAACAATCATTACACAGGTGAGGTTTTGATGATATATCCAAGAGAAAAATCACCTATAAATTTCTTGAAGGAGCTAGTCAGAAGATATAATGATTAATAGCAAATACAATTCCAGTTTCTTATAAGTTGAGTTTGTCACATAAAACCCCTACTTTAGGGTATTTGGCAAGCTGAGTTTAAACAAGTAAACTTGGACCAGAATCGAAGAAGCTCACTTTCTCTTTCTAGGCTTGCTAACCCAGGACAGGGGCTTGACTAGATGAGGTTATCCATGAACATATGAAAAAACAGAAAGTTGATACGTCAATTTCCACTCCAACCCTCAACAAGAAAAATGTGACCAAGCCACACCCATAGGCCTAATGTTCAAATGCAGTGACCCAGAAAATAGAACACATGATTCAGTTGTCTTGGATTCTCCTTAGGAGAAGAGGTTTGGAAAGGTAAGATAAAGAAAAGATTTTAAGGTTTTACTTGAGGCCTGTAACTCTATAGTGTCACAGGTGATTTATAATTGACATCATCTTAAAAAAAATTAAATAATTTGGCTCTGATTAAGGTATAGCTAAACATTTCCTGATTATAATTAATATACTGTCTCTATAACTCAGTTGTAGTTCCCATATTTTTCTATGGATTAATTAAGCCAGTGTCAGTTTGCATGCTTACAGAATCAATTTGAGTAATTTATACAATATATAAATTAACAGTGCTACTTTCCTGATATTTTTAGAAAACTTGCTTGAACCTTTTATCTTCTACCCAAAATAACTTGTAAGGTGTTATTTTAATTGGATATTATCATTTATTTATATGTAACTGATCTATAAGCAAATACTCAAGTCAGTGTAAGTCCACATGAATTTATTGAATATCTATAATGCATCATTGTGTTTGGTGATGAGGATACAATTATGAATTACCCCTAATGCCTGCCCAGTAAAAACCCAAAATCCAGTAGTGGAGACAAACACAAAAATACACATTTTTATTACAGAATAGTAAATGTTATCATTGAGGAATTCCCCCAATTGTAGTGACGAAGATGAAGGGTGTTAAATTCGATTTAGATTTAGGAAAAGCAGGTATTGAATTGAGGGAAGGTTTCCATAAAATAGATAATTATTGTGTTGAGTCTTAAAGGAAAAAAAGAGGGTTGATCCATAGGAAAAAGAAAAGGAGTACCTGCTAGTGACCATACAGTAGATGCTCAGAGGTACAAGACAGCATAGAGCATTTGAGAAAATATAAATACTTGAGGACCTCCCTATTGTACATGATGAAGAATATGAGAAGTCATGCTATGATGAAGGACCATCCAAAGGATGAAGCAGAGAAATGACAGGACTAGAATGGTACATTAGGCAGATTAAGGCATGTAAAGAATTTATTTGACTAGATGAAACTGGAGGCACACTGACTAATGAGTTGGTCAAATATTGAAAATGAGTGTCAATGAAATACGCAAGAATGGATATGGGAGAGTAAGTTGAGGATAGAAAAAGAGCCTTCCATAAATTCAAGGATTCTAGTTGGGATGCCTTTCTGAATGGTGGAATTGCTGATGAAGTAGGGTGGTTTACGAAGGAGTGGTAATGATGAGAACAATATTAAAGATATTATAGTCTGGAAGTGTGTTTGGAGCATTTAAGTGGAGATAACAGTAACTGTTATTTATAGCTGGAATACTAGATAATAATGAGATCGAATCTACATCAGTCTAGAGATTTTGTTCAAGCCATGAGAATACGTGGAATTGACCACAGAGAATGTGTAAAATGAGAACAGGAAAAGTGTGAGGATAGAACCTAAGCTAAAAATATACACTAACAGAAGAGTAAGAGGATCCTGGGAGTGATTCTGACTATGGTCAGAAAATGTCAAATGAGTAAGTATCAAGAGAACTAGAAGGGAGGGTTACCAAAGAAATAGAGTTTCAACAAAAGGGCAACAAAATGCTCAATGATAAAAGTAGGCAAGATGAAGTCTTAAAACTACTAAATTTGATGTTATTAAAATGATTAGTGTTATAGAACAGAAAGAGTTCATCCACCCGGCATTAGCAGAGCAAAACACTAAACACTGAGAATTACAGTGGAGAAATACTGGCCATTTTATTGATGAATGGCACCATCCAGGAGAGTGGGAAACCAATGCTCGAAAGCCTGAACTCACTGATGGCGGGTTACAGATTATATAAGGCAAAATCACAAGAAACGGTGAGTGGGTTAGAGGTTAGGGGTCATGTTGGGAGCTGACTGGTAAGAGGTCAGGTAAAGGTAGTGAATCATTTCAGGTCTTAAGGACAGTGCTGAGGTCTTTTCCAGAGTCCCTCTGTCCAATCTCACGAGAAAGGGGCCAGAGGGTTATTCCACCTTAGGGCTCATGAGCTGAAACATAGCTTACTAGGTCAAGATGTTACCTTCAGCCAGGGGTTCGGACTGTGTGACCATTAGTTAGGTCTCTGCTTCTGTCTGTTGTTTCGGGGCTTGCTGATTATCTGGGGGAAATGCTAGGTCTCTGAGGCATATATACAGAGAGAGGGATATGATGTTTAGAGCTAGGATTTAAAACTAAATTTAATCAAAGCCATAGAGACCCTCATTTCATTAGGCCATTTTTAAGCACAGTTTCAATAGAGCAGTAGTCATTAAAATAAATTATAAGCTGCAGAATAATTAGGCAGTAAGAAAGAGAGAGAGAGGTCAAATATAGGTTATTCATTTAAGAAACTTATATAGGAGAAATATAGATCTATATCTAGAGAGAAGGTTAAGATCCATTCCAGTCTTGTAATGAATTTGTCACATTTTATTTTCCACAATTCTGCTTTTTATTATTAACAACTTAGATTTGAGGTAAATAACTGCCATACTGTAATATTGCACTCTTGTTTTTGTTCTCTTTTTGTTGTTATGCAAGCTATGGGGCTATGCTCAGAAAATGAACCCACTTCCCAAACCATTGATTGCACATATTTAAGAGAGCAGTGCCTACGTGATGCAGATGGATGTAAACATTTATGGAGAAAGATGGAAGATGCTTGCAATGTTTCAGGTAAAACAACTTGTTTAAAGTACATTCAAATGATTTCCTTTTACTCAGATAAAAATAAGATTTGCTATTTTCTTTTACTATTTTTAGGAGCTAAGTTTTTCTCTAAATGCTTTACTCAAATTTGATATTCAAGTGATTCACCTTCAATTGCTTATTAGTGAGTTTAATTGCAAAAGGATATTCTTAAATTACTCAAGGGCCCTAATGCGTTGACACGATGGGCAGCTTTGTGCAAGATTGCAACCTATTTTTTTTCACTTATCTCATTATGTATAATGTTATAATTATATGTATGCTTCTATGTAAACATGACAACATTTTTTCAAATAAAATGTTCTTTTGCTTATATGTTGATATGTCAATGATAAAATAGGAGAAATAATATTTGTGATGATCAAAGGCATTGATATTTATTTGCATGTGTATAATATGCATTCTATATTCTCACAACATATGCACTATTTTCCATTCTTACTGTGTCAAGAACCAGTTAAAATATATTATTATTTTTGCCTTGTCGTACATTCCAAACATTTGAGGGGAGGCCCAAAGGGTAGGGAATGTAAAGATTAGAGTCACTCTTAGGGCCGGCCGAGTGGCTCAGTTGGTTAAGAGCTCGCTCAAGAGTTTGAGCTCTGAGCAACAGCGGTTCGAGTCCAGCCCGAGCTGAGCAGNAAAAAAAAAAAAAAAGATTAGAGTCACTCTTACTTGTTTAAAAAAGAAACACATCCTAAATATATTAAGTAGCTGAATGAATATTGAATGAGAATATTAGAGGAAGATTCCATTTACTAAAAGAAGATAAGCTGATTACATAGTGGGAAATTACCCTAATAATATTATGACAGAACTTTTCAAAAAATAGTTTTCTAATATAATGGTAATTTTTTTTATCATCTTGCATAATGAACAATAAAATTCTTTAAAAACCTGATACACTTTTTGGAATAGTCAGTAAAAGAAATCCAAAAGGGAAAATAAAAATATATTCTTCCACAACTCACTTTTTTTTCCCATCTATTTCTTGAAGAGTTAATTCTGTTCTACTCATGACTCTTTCCTATCAGCACGTGTTTCCTCTGATGTAAGGTGGAGTGTGTTGGGTTAAGAGGCAGTGACCTATAGTTCAATGCCAGTGTTCAGTCTCCACCAGCAGAGCAGCTGCCTGACCCCATGACCTCAGGAATTACATAGGATGTAGAGGGAGAGAGGTGTTCTTCTCTTGCCTGCCTTTGAAGAGAATACATGGAATTTTTATACTGCAAAGAAAAGTATAGCTCTTTAATCCAACATTCTTATTACTGTTCAGGAAAAGAATTGCAAAGGCATGGTTTTCTCAAAGTAACAACAGTAATTGTAAGATGAGAATAGAGGACAGTGACAAAAAACAATCTGTTATTTGTTTTGATGATGAAGCTCTTTGTTACATTTTGTATGGCAATTTAAAATATCACATTCAGGGTGTCATGAATTAGAGCATATTTGTTTCAGTGTACAAATAGCAAGTCATTGGCACTGAATTGCAATATTTGCATAATTATCCCATGTATGAAACTGAAATAGAAATATTCTCAAATACACAAATGAAATGATCTCAAGTAGTTTTATTCAGGAAAAAAAAGGGAAAAAAAAAAGAAAATTGCCAGGTAGATGAATATGGATCTTTGAATTAAAGCAGAAAATGAATCGTTGGTAATTATGAAAGAATTCCTATGTAACAATATTTATTAAGTGCTTTCTAAGTGTCAGGACCATTTCATTTCCCATGATAATTTTAGAGCCACCTGCACATCTTGTTATAATCTTAGAATGACAAGGAAAATAAAATAGCAGATGAAGACAAAATCATTAATAAAATAGCTAAACTGACAAAATATCTAACATGAAGAACATCCTGGTCATCTCATATAAGGGCAGCCTTGATTATTGCTGAAGAACAAAAATTGGCATTCTAAGTACGGACAAAGCTGTTTTAAAATTTGGAAAATTTTAATCTGCCTTAGGAAGTGAATATCGGGATGAAATGATGATAAAAATAGATTTTTTTTACATCCTACAACAACCCCAGACAATCTTACTATAATAATGAATTACACAGATTAATATGTTAAAATCACATTGGGTATATTTGGGGTATATTCAGATTAACATCTGGAGTGTTATATGTTTGTGAAACCCAGGTAACTCCTGCAAGATGAAGGATTTATCAGGCTGTAACCTCAGTATCCAGTCCTTAGTGAAAAACAATATCCAATTTAAAGATTGTCTCTGCACTGATGACCTGTATGGTACCGTTAACAAATTGCTTGGAAAAAAATGCATCAATGAATCAGGTAATACATTATTATATAAAATATTTAAAGTCATGAAAAAAGAAAGGAGAATTTTAAAATTAATCATATCTATGTAATTTCATTAACTTTTTTGTAATTTGATTAATTCTTCAGGCAATTTAAGGTTCTATGAGTTGCAGATCTCAGTAAGTGCATAACATATTTCTGTAACTTTAATTACAATTTTAAGCTTTATTCAATTATAATTCATTAGAATTACAGATTTAGCCCATATATATGTGGGGCTCATTATGGCTTTGCACAGAATTTAAATGAGAGAAGATAAATAAGGTGTTATTTATCTTATTAAAGAACTCAGTGTCTCCCATGAAAGACCAAAATATAATCACTTACCAAAAATTATTCTTGCCTTTGAATAGGAGCATTTAATCATTTAATAGGCATTTGTTTACTGTCTCCTAAAGGTGCCAGGCTAACACTGAAGTAGTGGTAATCAAACTAGTCTGTATGAGTCCTTGAGTGTACATACAGATTTTTCAAGGGATACATGGGATCAAATAGTTCTAAAGCGACCAATTTCTAGATCCTCAACTTCCCTATGTATTCTCTGAAAAGTGGTAAGCTTGGGAATGCACATTTTATCATAAAGTTCTCACCTCTTCTTTCATAATCAACCTTCTCTCACTTAATAAGAGATTGGCTTTCCTCTTATCTTGAATAATCCCTCTGTCCAACGTTAAACAATTTTCTGTTTTATATAATGTTGCCTATTCCAGAATTTCATAAAAATGGAATCATATTACATGTAGCTTTATGAGCCTGATTTCTTTTATTTAACATAATGCATTTGAGATTCATCATTGTTTCATGTGTAAGTTTGTTCTCTTTTTTGAGGAGTTGTATTCCATTGTACGGTTATACCCCAGATTGGTTATCCTTTCATCATTGAAAATCATCTGCATAGTTTCCAGGATTTTAGAGATTATACATAAAGCTGCTATAAATATTTACACACAAGATTTGTACAAATATGTTTGTATTTTATTTAAGAAATTGTTGTTGGGTCATAAGATATAGTGTATGTTTACCTTTATAAAAAGCTTTCATACTTTATTTTCTTCTAGTTGCTTCACATTTTCAGCAGCACTTCTTTTTTTTTCTTTTTCTTTTTTTGCATTCTAGTACGTATTTATTGGTATCAGACTATGGTTTTAATTTGCACTTAAATAATAATAACATTAAGCTTATTTTCATGTGTTTATGTGCTATCTACGTATATTATTTGATAAAGTGTCTCTTCAAAAGTTTGCCCATTTTTAAATTGAATACAGTATTGGCTTTTTTTACTGAGTTGTTAGAGTTGTTTCTCTATATTGACTAGGGTTTATTAGAATGTGTGTTTTGTAAACAATATTTCCCAGTCTGTGTGTTTTTATTCCTTAAGAGTGTCTTTCAAATACAGAAGCTTTTTTTTAACTTTAACGAAGTTTAGTTTATCATTATTTTTTTCTTTTCTGGATCATACTTTTGTATAAATTGAAGTACAGTGGAGGAAATAACGGTGACTTAGAAGACTTCACAGAAGAAATAGCAGACTTTGATTTTTTCAGGTGAATTGGGTTCATTAGGGAGACAAAATAAAATGGATGGAAACAGAGGAAATAGAATGAAGCAGAATGCATTTGGAGAGCAACACATTCTTTGTTAAGCTGGATTGTAGAACGAATGAGAATTAGGAGATGATGCTGGAAAGAAACCAGATGTTTATAAAAAGGAGGAAAGCTTAACTTATATATCTTTCTAAAGAGATTAGAATTTAAACCCTTGTTATGAGGAGCTAGTAACACATTTTAAACAGAGAATGTAGAATCAGTGTTTCAAGAGTTATCATTGGTAATAGTGTAGAAGATGGAATGGAGGGGAGGAAAAAGTGCAGGTCAGAAACTTCAGTTAAAAGGTCATCTAAATAATTTAGAAGAGAGGTGATACATGCCTAAACTAACACTGGTGCTGAGGACTCTAAGGAGAGAACATATTTAAGATATACTGAGGGTGGCAAAAAAATGTATTCACATTTTAAGAAAGGAAAACTGTATCAAAATTGTAATACTCAACATATACCGATAACAAAAGATGAACACAAGTCACATTTGACTTCTGCTGTTACAAGAGGTGCTCAAAGTGGTTACCATCAGTGTCCAGGCACTTCTGATTAAGGTGAACTACTGCTTGAACAACATTGACAAGTGTCCACTTGTATACATCTTTTTTTGGCACCCCCAGTATTTATGAGTTATAAGCAATAGGAATCGGTGACTGTTGGATATGAGGAGTATGAAATGTTTATTTTTAGGGTTTCTATTTTACTCTTTGTTTTACTTTCTATCTCTCTGCTAAGTTGTTCCTAATATTCTCAAATTGTTCTTTAAATATCTTTAATAACTGACTTTGGACAAGGGGATTGCTGTACACTAAGGCAGGAATGAAAGAATAAAGTACAGGATTGGGGACAAAAATGATGAATTGTATTTTGAAGACACCACATCTGGAACATGCTTTGGAACATTCATATTAGGGATGTTAACATTTGTTTTAAGTTTCACACATTTAAAAAAATGGCTTTAAATAAAGAAATGAAGAAATTCCTCATCTAGCTGGCAATTGGAAACATGTATCTTGTGTTGAGAGGAATAATCTAAAATAGACATAGAGATTTGGGAGTCAAGGTTTTATAGAAGTAGATAAAAACGTGAAGGAGGAGAGGGCTGGCCACGAAAGGATATAAAGTGAGAATACAAGGGTTTTGAGAACAACATTTGAGATCTAGTTGAGAAAAAAAAAGAGAAGGTATTAAAGACAGCAAAAGAAACTACAAGAAGCAAAATTTTTGAAGCTAATGGAAAAGAGAAAGACAGAGAAAATAGTCAACAATTACAAATGCGGGGTAGAAATTCAGTAAAATAGGGTCTGAAATTACATTAATGTGCTAATTAGTAGGTCTTTACTAGTTTTAGAGTTAAGTAGACCGAAATGGAAGCATGTTGAAATACTAAAAATATTTTAAAATTTTGTTTCAAGGTAAGACAACTTAATTTATTACTCAATAGCAATTTTTATCACACCAATTTTTGACAAAATATAGTTGTTGATCAACAGATACATAAATTTAGAGCAGTCAAATTGCAATCAGTTCACATATTTAAACCATTTTCTTCCACAATAGATACTTATTAAAAGCTACTATGTGGTGATATTGATAAGCCAGGAATATTAAAAATCTTATAGTAAGCAAGGGTTTCATATGGGCAAGACTTAGGAGAAGACCTAAGCCATCTCACAAATGCACTTCATGATGGACCTGACCAAGGTGGTATGTTTACAAAGAACATTCAGCTGATTGCTTATTCATCATACAGTGAAAAGGAAATCATAATTGAAATCTTAGCATGCATCCCATGTCAACTTCAGTGTCCTCCACAAACCTTTAAGCAGCACTCCAACAAGGCATGACCTGTCTCCTTTACATTTCCAAAACATTCCCCAAGATACATAGTCATATGCTATTCTAGTCTCCATTGATATATTATAAACTTCTTGAGCAAATCAGCTTTGGAATTTCTCTCTCTCTCTCTCTCTCTCTCTCTCTCTCTCTCTCTCTCTCTCTCCCTCCCTCTCTCCTCTTTCTCTCTTTCTCTCTCTCTCTGTCTTTTTAATATGCTGAAGCACCCAACATAGGGCCTGACATTTAGTAGTTGATCAATAAATATGTGATGTGTTTTGAATTCATTAAATATATCTGAGCATCTAAATCATGTATCCATTCATAAAATAATTATTATTCAGTTAATAAGTATAAACATAATATAAGACCTGGAGGATATAAAGATGGATAAGACAGTCCCTGCTGTTGATTAACTAAAACACAGTAATGTGAAGTTGACATTAAACCAGATTGTTTCATTTAGCCTAGTTTATTTTCTTTATTTACATAAATAATGAAATAGATCAGTATTTGGAGGGATTTAAAGATTATTTCAAAACACATAATTACCAATATAAGAGAATGAATTATATGAGGACAACATTCTCCACATACATCTTATACATGCCTGGATATGCTAATTATAAGGGATAGAAAGGAGGCTGGTTTATATAATTATAATTTGTGAGCTGTCATTTGAGAAATGTGCAAAATGCTGTAGTAGTATATGTTTCAAAACATGACTACAGAGGTTGTACTCTGAACAATACTATAAGGATGCTCTGGCCACTTTTAAGTAAACATTTTCATATCACAAAATTGATTATATTGTCTTTATCTTGCATAAATATAAGACATTTGTAAAAACTAAAGGGTAATAAAAAGCATTTAATAAAATAAGTATTTTTTTTAAAAAAGAGCAGGATATCCCAAAGGGGGAGGAATACATATATATATATATATATATATATATATATATATATATATATATATATATATATATATATATATATTTAACTGGCTGAGGGAAGAATGGTTCAAGGATGTTTTCATTGTGGAGATGCTCTTGAAGTCCCTCAGGAAGACAAGATTTTAGAACTAGATGGTTTGTTACGAGTACATCTGAAAGGCTATGTGAAGCTTATTTGCAGTGTTACACTGAAGTAGTTTTTCTTATGTTCTTTTCATAAAGTTTTTACAATCATGGGCTTCTTGGAACCATCTAGTAAAACAAACATTTTTAGTGAGGGCAATATAACCAACAAGGGATGAAAATTTGTACTTGGGGTGGGTAAAAATTTATTTTTTTATTTTTTGTTGTGTACAAAGCACAAATATACATGTAGTTTCTAAACAGATAGTATATCTGCGAAATAAGGAAAAAACTGTCTAAAAAAGCTTTTTAAGGGGGAAATAATGAAACATTTTGAGAAACATTTTAGTATAGGTACATTTCTAGGAGAAAGTGGAAATTTATTAAAATTATATCAGAGAAATAATGGATAATTTTATAAGTACCTTAAGTTGCACATGATTTCTATCAATCATCATTAATATGTAATGAAAAAAGTAAATGATGAAGACAAATGTCATTTTAAAAACTGATCATTACTATTATGTGGTTACAAAACTATCAAGAATCAATGTTTTATATCTCAGTATTTAACAGTTCAAGATTAGTTGTCATAATGCTCTGGAAATAACTGTGAATGGTTTTTGAGAGACAATAGTTATTGGGATATCTATAAAAGTTATGTCTATATCCTTTTTAGAAAACATATTAAAAGGTCACAAGTGAGTGAGTTTAATTAATTTTTATTCCCTTCTTTTACTTTATTCATAGAGAAATCAGCACTGTTCTCATATTTGGCTTCACAATCAAATATCACACAATGGCCCCATCAAACAGATACGTCACTCATGGCTGAAAAAAAGAGCGACTGTGTCATAGCAGCACGTATCTGCCAGGAATCTGAACATTGCACTCTGTTGTATGAGGATTTTAAGAAAACCTGTGGCAGGGAATCAGAACAATGCAAGACTCTTGATGGAGGCTACCTGTGTGCAGCATTAAGAGAAAGTCTGAAAGAAACGACCTTGTGGAATTGTCAGTGCAATGACCCTTCAAAAGTAGAGTGCATTGAAATTAAAAGTTTGTTTGAAGACAATTGTATACAGGATGCTCAAATGAAACAAGTTCCAGCCTTCAGTGAAGAGTACAAAGATGGATTCAACCAGGACATTGTTTCTGGTTGGTATTCAAAAGAATTTAGAAACGTTAAGTATAATCACAAATATGAGTTAACTAATGAATATTCAATTTCTGATTCCAACTCTGTCATTTCTTCCTATGTTTCTCTTAGGAAATTAAAATTTAAAAAATTAATAATATGATTATGTCCAAAAGGGATTATGAAGAAAGAGGTAAATGCTAAAAGGTTTTATCACAATGTTAATTTTATTCATTCATTCATTGAACAAATACTTATGAGACATTTACAATATACTAGGTCCTCTGCAGCAGAATTAAAAACAAAATAACAAAAAACTTCCTGTACTTCATTGAATGAGCTTATTATTTTTTAGGGGATTTAATAAATTAAAGAAATAGATAAAAGTGGTTAAGTTATGATTGTTAATATATATAATAGATATATATTTTTAAGTGCCTACCATGCCCTAGACCATGTTCTAAGACGTGAGGCTAAAGCAGTAAACAAAACAAACAAACGTCACTGCTCTCTAGGAGCTTCCATTCTAAATTGAGGAGTGTCTTCAGTTGATTACCCTGGAAACAGACCCTGAGACAGAGGATGGCAAACAGAAAATGTATTGACCTGAGGTTTCAGGAACAACAGCTAGAAGGAAGTGAGGAAGTAGGGCGAGGTGGAGTGAGAAGTTGAAGTGCAATACAATTGTCAAAGAAACTTAGTTGATTCCACAGGAAACTTGGACCTAGACTGGCTTTTCAGAGATATCACACCCATTGAAGAAGGGAGCTGGTCCTTGACCCCCTCAAGTGGACTAGTCCTTAGATACAAGCTGTCCTCTGGAGAAGTCTGTAATCTTTGGTGTGGTGACTTTCTTTGGATGAGGGCAATGCCAGGAAAAGGACAATGTGATCCAACACTGAAAAATGCGCCCAGCAGCTGGGGACATTAGAACCTGGATCACAAAAGAGAGGATCTCAGTAATGAGACATAGAATCCAGTATGGGGACAAACAGAAAATTAATAGGATAAATGATTTTGAGATATATTTTTTAAACAGTAGAAGTGCTAATGAAAAAAAATAATACAGGTAGAGGAAAAAAAGAGGCCTGAGTGGGTGGTTTGAAATTTTAGTAGGATGGCCAGAAAGTTGCTCTGACGAAATTCATGGTTGAGTCAAGATTGAAAGTGGCAAGGGAATGAGTCCTATCTGGGGAAAGGGCACTTAAAGCAGAAGAAACAGCTAGTTAAAAGTTCTGAGCTGATACTCTGTCTGGAGGTTTGAGGAAAAGCAAAGAGTACACATGCCCAGAGAGTAAGGGAGAGGGGTGTGGGAGGTCAGATATGGTATAAAACGGGGGCAAGATCATGAAGGGCTTCCTAGGTCATTTCAAAACCATTGGTTCTACTCTCTGAGTAATATAGGAAACCACTGAAGGATTTTGGCCAGGGGAGGGAGTGTCATGGTTTGATTTACATCGTTAACAGGATAATTCTCATTTTTGTGTTGACAACTGAGTGAAGAGAAGAAAAGGCCCATGTGTGAAGACCAGTTAAGAATTTTTATCATGATGCAGCAAAAAGATAATGGATGATGGGCCAGTGTGGGAAATTGTCAGATTCTAGATATTTTTTGATATTAGTAGATCATGTGGGAATGCAAGGCAAAAAAAAAAAAAAAGGAATATCAAAGTTGACTCCAAGGTTTTTGTCCTGAGTAATTAGAAGGCTGTGGTTGCTATTATATTATTAACTACCGTGGGAACAACAGGAAGAAGAAACTTTGTGGGGAACGGAGGAGAGGTCAGGAGTCAGTTGTGATGTGTTAAGTCTGAAATGTTTATTAGATATTAGATATTTGGGAGGGATACATTTAGTCCATAAATTCAGTGCTTATTTATGTTTCAATGAAAGTTTCCCGAATATGTTTTCAGTCATTTGCACAGCCATACTAATCATTCCCCAAGCAAAGATATTAATCTATATTATTAGAAAGTCTAGCCTAGACTTAAAGCTATATGACTCTCCGAGATTTACTTATTGGGATTTCATTCAATATAGGATATTAGTAGAGAAGAAGGAACATTTCATGTTTCTTCAGAGACACAGGAGGGTGAACTCTAGAAGAGACAGTGATTCTTGAGCTGAGACTTACTCAGTAGAAAAATGAAAAACCATGAATAGTGAGAATAGTTTGGAATAATGCCAGGAGTCTGGAAAAGCTGTGACACACCTGGGGGTAAAACTAATTTTCTTGTGATTGTTTCATCATTTATGTGAGGTGGATGGACAGGCAGGGAGTTCGGACAGACAGCTCAAGTAGGGACACATTGAATCTTGAAGGGGCATTTATGCCATAACAGAAGTCAATATCTTAATCAGTAGTCAATGACAAAAATTGAATTTTTATTTTAAAACAAAAATCTGATCATACTACTCCCCTTTCACTTTATGCATATGTCTATTAGTGCTCCTTATATTTTATTCTTATTTTTGTTTTTCTGTCTATATTTCCTGTCAAGCTGCAGATGCTTGATGACAGGGACTGCAGATCTGTGTCTTCAATATGGCACCTGGTACATAGTAGAGACCCAACCAATGCTTCTTGAATCAAATATTTTAGAATTACATGGCCACAGAGTTCACTTCTGTCAATAAGATGCTTTAATTCTATAATTTCAATTCCTAAGAACTCTGGGAGGCTAAGATAATCAGAGGTGGAAATGGTCTTCACATTATATTTCAATCTAATTAAGACCTTACAGGGAAGAGGGTTTATTTTAATTTTTTTTAAATCAGACAATACTCCTTCTGTTTTTTTCTCCCCAGACAGATTTTTTGTTTACTTCAGTGCACATGGGCTAGTCATTAGCATTTGTTTAAACCTTCAAGTAACTGAATCCTCAGAGTAGGGCTGTCTAGCTCACTTGAATGATGTTCCTGGGGTTTATTTTTCTTCATCTGTACCTCACTTATTTTCAGTATCAGGGGTTAAATAAGTGTTACATGAGCTTGTATGTATTTTTGCTTAATTACTCATTTATAAATGTAGCCCACATTTTCCTATTAAATTTAGGAAACAATTTACTAATGAAATAGTCTCTTTATGTTTTTTCTAGATAACATAAAAGAGGATAATAAATTCAAGTGGAATCTAACTACTCTTCCCTATCACGGTAATGTTTATAAATTGTAATTTTAATCTGCATTGTAAATGCTGGACAGTGTAATTTAAAATATAATTACTAGGCTTCAGTGCAAAATAAATTGTGTGGCTTTTTAATAGTTCTAATATCACAAAATGCAACAAAATTGTTGCATTTCTTCCACTAATGTACCAAAGCAGCTGCTTTGTCTATTTGTCATCTATTTATGGTTATGCTGAGAATACTTTATAATTAAAACAAAAGGCTACATCTTGGTTAAATTTCCTAGATATTTTGATCACATAAATTAAATCATTTGACACCAACTATTTTTGTGTATATGTTTTTTTTTGGGGGGGGCAGTATGGCATTCACATGCACCTGTGATTTCTAGAATGTCAATATATATGTATACATATATATATATATATATATATATATATATATTGGAGTAAGTATGTAGAGCCTTTATCCAAGATTTTCCCCTCAAATAAAAAGTGCAACACAATAAGACTCATTTTGATTTGAGCCAATTAATTCATCATAAGCTACATGGTTCAAATGCAACTTCTGAAGATTTATTATTTATATTTGAGAAACTTGGACTCAAGAATTTTTCCTCCAGCTCAGTTTTGGCCCTACACACTTCCCATAACTTCTGGATCACAATACTTATCCAGCAGAGATGAAAGATGATTCAAATACCCCACTACTCAGGTCTCAATAAATTCGTATTAACTCAAAAAGAAGAAAAAAGTAATGTTTGCCCAAAATAGCACTCTGCTACACTTTGTATTTTGCTCATAGTCATCTCACAGTGGTTTGCATATTCTGTAAGTACAACTTTATGTTTACATTTTCACGACCTGAGCATGTCATTGCTTTCAGAAATGAAAGGGATCCGGACCTGTTTGGAAGTGGCAGAGACGTGTGTAGGGGATGTGGTCTGTAACGCACAGTTGGCCCCTTACCTTAAAGCTTGCTCAGCAAATGGAAATCTGTGTGATGTGAAACAATGCCAAGCAGCCATACGGTTCCTCTATCAAAATATGCCTTTTAACATTGCCCAGATGTTGGCTTTTTGTGACTGTGCTCCATCTGATCTACCTTGTCAGCAGTCCAAAGAAGCTCTTCACAGCAAGCCATGTGCAGTGAACAGAGTTCCACCCCCTACTTGCCTCAATGTAATTCACAGCTGCCGAAATGATGAATTATGCAGGTGAGTAAAAACACACATACCTTACTTTCTTATTTCGGCACCTTATTTGTTACCGTCCAGTCCTAACACTTGATCTCATTACATTAGCTGGAGTTCCCACCATTATCCAACGTGATGTAAACAAAGCCAGACAATTCATATTTTTGAATCTGTGGTAAATATGTAGTATCTTTTTTGAAATTCAAATGCAGAACACATTTTGGAAGTTAAAAAAAAAACAAGACAGTATGTGAGGATTTGGGTACCATGGAATAGCATTATTAAAATTATTTATTCAAATTAGACTAATGAATAATGAATTTGGCTAGTAGACCTAGCTCATATGTCAGTTTTTTAAGTTTGCTTTTTGGTATAATCATATAGGGCTGTTAAACATGATAGAATTATGACAAGGTGACTATTCAAACGTCAAAATAAATCCTTTCTTAGACTGAATATCAGTAAGGAGATGTGAGCTTGAGTGCAGTTCGGATAATCCTAGCACACACCTATGCTGTGATGTCAGAAATGTACCCATTCTCCTGTTCCCAACCTTACACCCTTGATTCTAAGGGGAAGTACAATAGTCATTTATTTGTTTATTCAAAAATATTTTTATGAAGCACTACTACTCTTTAGGCCTCAGTGTACAAGAGACAAAAATGCCTGCCCTGTGGAGCTTATGGTCTAGTGACGGGGAAAGGCAATCAATAAGAAGAGAATGTATATTATATTATAAGGTAATGAGCACTCTGGAGATTAACAACAACAGCATCAAAAAAGAATAAGGGGGTTTGTGAATGGGCAGAAAGGGTCGCAATGTAAATGGGGTGGTCTCGGTAGAAAGCATTTTACCAGACTTGAAGAAGTGAAGGAATGAGCCTTCTTCAGTAAATATGCAAACAAGGGGTCTCAAACAAACAGATGAGCCAGTGCTGAGGAAAACAAATGTGTGTGGCATGGTAAAAAAGCAATGAGGGTAGAGTGCGCAAGGGGGTGAGCAATAGCAGAATAGGTTAAAGATTGAACTGGATGGGGTGTAAGCAGACCTAGATCATGCAGGGCCTTGGGGGACACTGAGGACTTTGGTTTTCACTCCAAGTCAAACGGAGAAGTACTGGAGGATTTTGAGAATAGGAATGAATGATCTGACTCACTTGTTAAAACTTCCACTCTGGCTACTAGTTGAGACTAACTTGTACTTTTTCAGGTAATTGCTCCTGGGAACCATAAATCTATTCCAACGCCGTGGCTTTTTCTTTTCCTCACTATAGTCTTCATTAACACATTTCCTTGTATATTCACGATGAATTTATCTTTATGTGGTAAAAAATCCATAGTTAAGTGTGCTTCTTTGGACAAGAATAGGAAGACGGAGGAAAGAATGGGAATACTGAATAAATTTGATGAGTCAAAACTATTTGTAACAATAATGTTACATATTGAAGGAGCTTGATTTAACAACCAATATTAAATTGTATAATTTTTGAATTGTTCTTTTGATTCTTTTTTGAGTAATTCTTCATATTAATTTGTTTGCCTGTTGTCTTCTGACAGGGACAGTTTAATTTTATTTAAATGAATGAAACTCCATACACAACAAATCCATTTAAAGAACAAAACAAACATTTAGTGTAGAGGAGTAGCTCAGTGTGTGATAGCTCAGAGCAATATCTGTCATATTTGTCACCTTGTTTCAACCGCTGGCAAATGAACTAAAAGATTTAATGATAACTCCCTGAAGGGGTTGGTTCTTGGTGAACTGCTTTCTTTTAGCCTTTTCACTGTCAGCTATCTTCACCCCTTTACTCTCAGTCATTCTAACTTGATAAAGTAGCTCCAGACCTTGTAAACATTTGTCAAAAAAAGACAATGTTCCCCTATAACACACATTCTATAAAATAAAGGGTAAAGATCTAAGCAGAGTGCTAGGGCATTAACATTTATTGCTTCAATTTATACAGAATGGCAAAGTTCTTAAGAAAGTTTTATTTGAGGATCCTGTCATGTACATGTTTATCAGTTATCTTAAGGTTTATTAATTATTTCCCTTGAGTTAATAATAAAATTAATGATAAAAATATTTTACAGTGTAATTTAGACTTTTCAAATTTATTTATAGTCCCAAAATTCTTTTTAGTAAAATGTTGTCTTTCATTGATTCTAAGGTGCAAATTTTCATACATTTTAATATCCTTCACAATTTTAGGATGAGTCTTAAGCTAACTGAAATCACTTATTAGATTATAACAATAATTTAATTGCCAACAAGTGGTTTTAGTTGCAATACAATAATGATATTGCCTACAATCAATGAAATATGATAAAAATGTTTGAGTGCTCATTTTTTTTCATATAATAAATAGAATATTGCCCTCTATCTACCTATCAATTATCTATCATCCATCTACACTAACAATGAAACCTAACATTTTAACCAGCCAGGGGACACCTTTTTTTTTTTTTTTTTGTCTTCTAATCAATCCCTGTAAGAATACCAGATGTCTGCATGGATGCACAGGCTTACCTGATTCCACTGCAAGAGCCTTAGATATGCTACCTCATTATCCTAAAATTATTTGCATTCAACCTTCAAAGCATTATATGTCTAAGCTTTCCTATCAAATTAAATATTTTAATGGCAAGTTATAGAATCTGCTGTTATGGTCCTTGAGAAACCCCATGATGGATTTTGAAGCACACTCTTGAAATAAACTCACTTTGTTATCAATACTTTCTCAGATTGATGAGTATATTGTTTGTAAATTTTCTTCCACAAGTACTCCTGGGTTTAACCACCTCTCCAAAATGTTTGGTTGCGAGGTTTGGAACACAGTAGACATCAAAAATTGTCATCTCATTTTCCTCCACTTTTGAATGTCTTGCACTTACTTTTTATATTAATAATTTATTAATGTACATAGATGCATCTCCTCTTATGTAATTTCTGTCTTTCATAGATTTGTTTAGAGAGTAAGGACTGTGTGTCTTCAATTTCTTTCGACATGTGCAAATAGTCCTTTAATGAATACTTTACAAAACTGATGGAAATATACGATATTAGTAATCAAGGTAAAAAGACAAATCCTGTCATTTTCTCAAGCAAATTTTGCCTTAGAGGGATTTCCAACATTTATGTAAAATTATTGCTAATGTAAGTCAGATGGAAAAAAAAACTCGAAAAAGTAAATCATTTCTTCTGTGAGGATGTTAAACCCTTTATTGCTTACCTTTTTGCCGATGAGCCTGTACATGGGACAAGAAAGAACACTTGGGTTTAAAAATTTAACTTCTATCTTGTTCTAGATTCTTCAGTACATGATAGGATTTGAAAGTCCTTTATTTATTGGAAAAGGCCAAAGAAGGCAATATACAAGTAAAGACTAATTTTAAATTAATTTTTTTAGTACAGATATACACTGAGGGTGAGATTATGTTTTGCCAATTATAAATGTTTAAGAATTTACAGAAAATTATAATGCATTATAATTTTATATGTATGAACTTGAGAAAGTAATGAAAAAAATATTTGGTTAGAAAAAATTCTAATTATTTTAAGAAGCAAAACTCTACAATATACATGTTTATTTTAAGTGCCATGGGTCATTTATAAAAGTGGACTATATATTAGGTCACAAAGACAGATGTAATACATTCTGTGTATAGATATTACACAGACCACATTCTCTTACATTTTGCAATGTAGCTCAAAATCAATACCAAAAATAAAAATAAATAATCAACTCCATTTTAAGGATTACCCTTAAATACGTAATTGTGTATAGAATAAACAGAAGTAGAAACTTGTACAATAACAAGAAAATAAGGATAGTGAAACACTATATATTAAAACATTTCAAACCTAAAACACAATTTTTAAAATATATACATTTTTTGCATTTTTAAAAATTTCCTTCAAATGACTTAAGTAACTAGTATACAACAATGATTTTATGATTTTTATATTTAATTAAATATCCTTTAGCTAATCATTTTTGCAAAATTTCACAACTAATTTTCTGAATGAATAACTTCCATAAGTAGATAAAGCATGCAACTTAAAATTAGTAAAATACATATTAAAAAAATGGTACCTGGGTTCAAATTTATCGTCTACTCATAAATGATAATCAATACTGACAATACTTACATTTAGATAATGTCTTTTCTATAACCCTTAGTTGCATTAAAGAAACATATCTGTTCTTCTGACCTCAGAATTTTATGCTCAAAAAAGTTGTAGTTCCTTAAATATAAATTAATTTTGCCAATGTATTAAAAATCTGATTCCTAAAAGTTGATTACTTAAAATATGAGATTATTGAAAATAATGTGGTTTGTGGGTTTAAGAAGAGTAGCACCATGTGAACAAAGAAGCTTATGACAAGTGTCATGTATTCAGAGGGTTTTTACGAATGTTTGATAGTGACCTAGTCAAGAAAAGATAAAAAGTAATTTTACGTGATAAATATTAAGTAGGAAGATTACTATCTTTGGTTCTTCTTACTGTAAAAGCCTCACAAATAAAATTATTATACATTATTGTGACTTTTATTCAGCTAATACAACAAGAACCAAATACATGGTCAGAAAAGTTATGAATGGATATGGCTCTAATGGGTTATCTCAGCCATTAAATAAACTCATAATGTTATGCTTTAAATGAACTCTTGCTGCCAGAGAAGCTCAAAGCATTTTTAAAATTCGAATCAGTCTGCTTAGAAATGTTGAGAAAGAGTACAGTACCTCCCACCTTGCAGGAAAACTGGCTTGAAACCTAAAGAGCCTTATCTGAAATCATTTGATGTGAGATAATAGCCAAATGCTAGTCACAAAACCGCATTCTGCTTCAAAACATACTACTAATAAATCTCTCAAGTAGTTAATGCTGCAAATCATCAGCCATTGAAACAAAATTAGTAATGAAGGAAAATTCATCCAGGGAATTGTAAACTTAGCCTCTCTTTTCATCACAAGTAGGAAGTAATTCACAGTTTCCCTACTTTTTCTTCCACACTCTCTACTGGGATATTTGAATGTATATTACAAACCTAGTGTTCAGCTATGTACTAGCATTTAGGAGGCATTTTGTTTCATGTCCGTCTTTCATTAGGTGAGGAAGCACCATGTGCTAATGTGAAATAATTATTCGGAGACTAATTCCATTTCTTGTCTCTTTCTAGGAGGCGCTATAGAACATTTCAGTCAAAATGCTGGCAGCATGTGACTAGAAAGTGCCATGAAGATGATACTTGCATCAGTACCTTAAGCAAGCAGGATCTCACCTGCTCCGGAAGTGATGACTGCAAAGCAGCTTACATTGGTACCCTTGGGACAGTTCTTCAAGTGGAGTGTACCTGTAGGACCATTAGACAAAGTGAAGAATCTTTGTGCAAGATTTTCCAGCATATCCTTCATAGAAGATCATGTTTCAGTAAGTTATGCATCTTTAGTAAATTACATTAAATATATATATATATATATTTTGTATTATATATTAAAAATTATATATGTATATATATATGTATATATATATATATATATAGTATTGTTTGATTGTTTGTTTTGGTCTCTACAGCACAAAGTAGTAACCCAGCACAGAAAATTTGTTCACAAAGACAACTTTGTTTGCTATTCCATTTTAAAATCTATTTTCTGATTATATTTTGTGCATTTGGTATTTTACTCATTTACCTGCAAGTGGTACAATTTTTCATTTATGTGATCAGTCATTCTGCTTTATTATTTATTGACTTCAATATCAACAGCATAAAAGGTTTATTCTTCCAGATAACTGAATGTATCAGGTATCTACTGTAAGTAGCAAACCACCCCAAAACTTAGGAACTTGAAATGACCATTTATTTGCTCAAAATTCAGCACACTGGGATTGGCTCAGTTGGTGGTTCTTCTGATGGTCTTATGTAAGGTCACTCGTGTGGCTACAATCATCTAGTGACTTAACTGAGTCTGGACAGTCCAAGATAGTGTTTAGTAAGCACTGTTGGCTGGAATGCATGGTTCTCTGCCACGTGGCCTCTTTAGCAGTAGACCCTGGGGCTCTTACATGAAGAGTCCCATTTCTAGCAGCTAGCTAAGCCCCCGATGTGCAAGTATTTATCAAGTGTCTGGTTCTGTTACAATTGCTAATATCTCATTGGACAAAGCAAGTCACATGGCCAAGTTCAAAGTCACTGTGAGAGGGGATTACACAAAGATATGTATATTCAAGGTTGGATTCTTCAGGGGATCATTAATTTAGTAATCTACTATATGGCTGTCTTAACCTATGTATACATATTTACTCTTGGATTTACTTTTCCTCCGCTTGGTCTTAAATATGCCTGCTGATATATCTGCAATGATGGAATGGAAAATACATTTTCTAAAGTTATTGTTTACTGTATTTTGGAAATAAGAACACTGAAATTTAGGAATTTAAATAATTTGTACAGAGTCTTAAAGTAAGCCAGTGGTTGAGAGGGATTTGTCTATGAGTCTAATAAAAAGAACTTAAGGATGTGGCCACATACTAATTCAAGACTATCTTTAGGGTTAGTCCATGCAACCATCTAAATTTTGAAACACACTCAGGCACCTAGACCCCTGTTGTGACCACCAAACCTGCAAACACCATTCCTGGGAGGAAATAATAGATATTTAGTGTTTTATTGCAAACCAAATTTTTATATTTATGAAAAATATTTGAGAGATACAGCTATGTATATACCTATATATGCACCTGTACCTATATTAGCTAACTACATACAGATACACATACCTTTTATTACTTTTTATATTTTTCTTTACATGTACTAAAGGGATGCACATTAGCCAATGCGATTATAATTGTGATTTGTTGTGTATTGGGTAATAGACATACAACTCAGTGTATGGCTTTTATTCCAACCATATGTTGAGTTCTCTGTGGGATTTGTGCAATTTTTATAATTAGCACTTCAGATACATTTCAATTGAAACATGATACAAAGAGGAAAATTGCAGCATTATATATGTTGAGTCATATTTTCTAAATAATTTTACTCTCTGAGTAATATTAGCTGGCTAATTCTGTTGGAACTAAAGGTTCTTATAACAAATGTCTCATACTATTATAGAAGAAAAGAACCACTTAAAATAATTTTAAACCAATGGCAATATATACAGTTACATTATTATGGTTATTTGTGTTTTCTTCATATTAAATGGTACTCCCCCACCAATCCCCCCCCCAAAAAAATGTAGATCCTCCAGGTTAGTAATAACTCAGTTCCTTGAGCATAAGTTCCTTAAAAGTGCCAGTCCCAGAAACCTAATTCTAGTTCCAAGCCTGGTTTTCTTCCACATGCTTTTAATTATTGTTATATTGACTTTCATTGTGTTTAGCTACTATAACCTATACAGAGCAAAAAATATTTGCAGAGAAATAGTAGAAATGACATTTAAAATTCTATAAACACTGAAGTACTATACAATGCTTTAGAAAAATGAAAATTCAAAATTATTTTTTCATTCACCTACACCTAGTAAGACTTAACTTTATGAGATTTTCTCCTCAAACATTAGCTACTAAAAGTAGGAATTTCAAGTGAGAGATTTATAGAATTAAAGGAACCTGAAAGGCCTTCTGTCCCAGACTCAGTACTTGAATTAATAGGGAATGTTTCAAACAAAAACAAGAGCCAAATCCTGAGGCTTGGAGAGTTCTCACAGATTCTCATTCCCTGCCCCATATACTTGGGAAGTAGCACAAGCATGTGTTTCAATGTACTGTCTCTCTAAGCATCGCCCCCTGACTCCTCACATCATCCCAGCACACTCACACATTATCAAAAAAATCCATCATTACAGCATATTTCCAAAGCCCTTTAGCTTCTGCTCACTACTTGAAAGAGGCAGAACTGAGTTCAATCGAAAGGACAGTTAGGGAAGGGTTTCAGTTTGTCACATTTGTTTGGCTTAAAAGCATTGTTTTTCAAACGCATTTGACCTCAGACCACAGTATACAATGCATTTTACATTGGATTTTTATGTACAATGTCTTCTGTTTTTTTAAATTACTATTATTCTATTCCATTAATTCTTTTCAATGTTGACTACTACCCTAAATGGATTTTATAACTCACTGATGTGTTTCTCTCTGAAGTTTGAAGAACACGTGCTTGAAGCATAAATTCATCTGGCAATAGTATATGTCAATGTATCCAAGTCAGAATCTTCTAATAATTACAAGTTATTATAGAGTTTATTGAGTGTTTAGTTTCAGTCACATTTTCTCACTTAATCTTATTCCATAGCTAGATGCTGTTAATTAATTTCTCAGTTTTGCCTATGAGATAAAGCTACAAGAATAAATGGCTTGCTCAGGGTCGTACACCCACAGTAGACTCAGGGTCTTAAAACTGGCTGACTGACTCGCCGCCCACTGTGTCCTCCTGCCTGTGAAATAGAAGACAACAACCTTGTGTGTCTTCAGTATGCTCCACAGCCCTCTCGGCAGAACCTCTTAGGTCTGGTTGCAGTATTAAGCTTTGAAAATGTGCTAAAGAGCCCATCTATCCTGCAGGTTCAGAGTTAGACAAAGGAGCATCCTGAACAAATGATATTCGGTCACCAGCCTCCATTTAACTACTAACTTCTGGACCCATATAGACTTATATTCTGGTTATCTTACAGCACATAAGGAATTTGTGACACAGAGAAAATTGGAGCAGATAGAGGGATGAGAGACATAGAAGATAGAAAAATTGTTAATGCAGAGAGACCACAGAAAAGGAAAAAATTAAAGAATTGCCTTTGCACTGTGTCGCTCTGTTGCCCTGAATGATGCAGCGCACAGGTGTGGGTGTGCAGCGAGTCGACAGGAACGTCCTTTCATCTTGCTCAGAGCTGTTTTTTTATGCCAACTGTAGCCATCGAAAAGAGAGTTGGAAATATCCCTGTTCTGCAACTGAAGACTCAGTTCCTTCTTTTTGAAGAATTATTTTAAAAAATAAAAATGAAAACAGGCTATTAAATCCTACAGGGAATGGAAGGCATAGCAATACCATTGTGATACAAGCTTACGCAAATTTTTGAAGAACACAGAAATAAAAAATAAAAAAGTTAAATTCTTTCCCCAATCCCATTCTCTAGAGAAAGTCAAGGTTAACAAGACCGGTGTGCATTCTTTCAAACTTTTCTTTTTGTTTTTACTTATAATACAGATATAGCTTGAATACCTTGTATACACCGAAACCAATGCCTCCCTCACCCTGACACACACATATTTTAATGGAATAAAACTATACACACGGCTTTACAGCTTGCTTTTTAACTTAAAAATACATGGTAGACACATTTGCAAGTATGCACATATATGTACATATATGATGACTTTTTTTAAAGGCTGCATAGTATCCTATAGTACACACACACACACACACACACACACACACACAGTGTGCCAAAATGTATACACATTTTAAGAAAGGAAAAACTATATTAAAATTATGCTGAAGGTAATCACTCTGAGAACCTCTTTTAATTGTAGAAGTCAAGCATGACTTGTATTCATCTTTTGTTATCAGTAAATATTGAGTATTACAAATTTAATACAGTTTTTTCCTTTCTTTTTTTTTTCTTTTTAAAGATTTTTATTGGGGTATTGGGGGGATGGGAATAGTGTTGGGGAATTGGGGGAAGGGGACCAGACAAGTTGCTTTTGTTTTGTTCTTCAGTCTAGTTGTGGAGGACGTTGCTTCACTGGCCCACTTTGGCACCATCATTGCGCTCTTCCCTGGTGAGGCAGATCAGTCGCTGGCTTCTGGATGGCGGCTCACGCTGGCTGCTGGCTACATACGGTTGCCCATGGCAACCCACTGCCACAGGGGCTGCAGCCTACGCCGTCAACGGCGACTCATGGCAGCCCAGCTCCAGGTTGAGCTGTTGTTCAGCATCTTAGCTGTGGAGGGCTGTGTCACTGGCCCTCATATGTGGGATCCAAATCGGGGCTCTCTGGCGTCCCAAGCCAGTTCTTAACCATCACGCCACTCGGCCAGCCCCAGTTTTTTCCTTTCTTAAAATGTGTATACAGTTTTTTGGCACCCTGTGTGTGTGTGTGTGTGTGTGTATAAAATTTATTTAACTAATCTATTAATGTGGACATTTAGGTTGAGCGCTATTATATGTATTTTTCATTATAGACATTGTTGTAATAAATGTTATTGTACATTTTAGCTGGCATTTCAATAGGATTGATTTTGAACAGTGAGATTACTAGACCACAGGATTTTTAATTTTTTAATTTGGTAGAAACTAGAGAAAAAGTTTGTTTTAATTACATTCTTAGTGAGAAAAATCTTATTGTTTTAATTTGCATTTTTATTATAAATGATGCTGAGCATCTTCTAAGCGGTTTGTTGAAATATTTTCTTTCTTTCTACCTGTTTATAT